AATTACAGGCCTCTCTCATCTTTTTAAGTGGGAGAACTTGCACAATTGGTGGCTGACTAAATACTTTTTTGCCCCACTGTATAAAGCACTACATTGTATAGGGCCTGGCTGATTTGATCCAGCAGGGTTGGCACACTTCATGTTTCTTCAATTAATGCCATCAGTTGGGTTCCTGGAAGCATGCCTTCTCTGTCTTGGGGCCTACTCTCTGAAATTAAGTTCCCTCCCCTCCAGGTCTGGATGGGCCCACCTTGCAGGAATTTCGAAGGGCCTTGAAGACCTAGCTCTTCACCCAAGCTTTGGTGAAGGTGATTAAAGGCACCTTTAGGCAGTGTGGATTTGTTTTTACTCCTGTCCAGTTTGCAGTATTTTATTCCTTGTTCGTGTTTATTATGTTGTTTTATTCCTTTTAATGTTGTTTACTTGTCAACCACCCATAGTTGTTGGGAATTGAGTTTATATAAATTCTAATAATACTAACAACAACATTTGTTTTGTAAATGTTTTGAGGAAATCATAGACTGGCATAGAAGAAGCCAAAGTTAACTATTCACACTTGTTTCCAGCTTTTACAGGTCCAGTATACAGATAGCCCTTGAGTTACAACAGCATTTGGGACCGGAATTTCTGTCGCTAAGCAGTGCGGTCATAAACTTCAGCATCATGTGACCACATTGCTTAGTAACACAATTCCGGCCCTTCCTGTTGCTGTTGTTAACCGAATCCCACTGATCATTAGCCAAGTACCCCCCCCCCCGACCCAAGCCATTCCTGGCTTGGTCCCTCTCAGTCTCGAGCCTCTGTTCTTCCAAAGTAAGGGACTTCTACCCCTTCAACTCCCACCAACTGTCTCTTGCCCCCCATCTTTGCCCATTTGGCCACCCTGCACCTTGCCTTATGGGGTGGCGAGCAGACCCAGAACTGTGTGGCTCTGGGGCTTCTTGGCACACGCCATGGGTCTGGGGCTGCAAGAAGCCTCTGAGCCTCAGTGCAGCATGAAGATGCAACTGCCCAGGGAAGTTGCAGCCACCCCTGCCCAGCACCACAGTGAGAAGCTGCAGACCCCCCCAAAAGCCCCAGCTGCCCCAGCCCAGGACCAGGGTGCAAAGCTGCAGCCCAGCACTGTGGCACGAAGCCAAAGTCACCCTGCGCTCCACTGCCCCAGCTGATTTTTGGTTCCACTGCTAACAAGGTGTGCCCAGCCTTTTCCTTTGTGAGGCAGCTGCTGGCCATGCAAGGCCTTCTTCCCCAAGTCTCACAAGGAAACCACTACATGTAACCTCAGGAAGAAAGCCTTGCAGGGCCAGCAGCTGCTTCATGAAGGGCCAGACTGGGCATACTTGGTCAGGAACAGAAGCAAGAAAATGGTGAAGGGCAGCTGGGGCAGCAGGGGGCACTGAGTGCCGGGGACCAATAGTGCAGAAATGGCGGGGAGATAGGCAGGTGGGGGGAGTTGAAGTGCCCCTGCAGTCATAAGTGTGGGCGGGCTGCCAAGCACCTGAATTTTGATCATAGTCACGTGATCGCAATCCAGGCACTTGGCAACCAGCTCGTACTTATTATAGTTGTAGTATCCTGCAGTCACGTGATCACTGATTGCGACCTTCCATGCCAGCTTCCCGCAAGCAAAGTCAATGGGGAAGCTGGCAAGGAAGATCGTAAGTTGCTCTCCCTCCTGCTGTTCTTTCTCCCAAGGAGCCCAGCTACGGAGTACAAGATCCCAGGGATCTCATACTTCATAGCATGCGCCTGCGGCAGTCACCCCACCCACATTCAACAGCAGCCACCCCCCACCTGGACGTGTTTGTGCTACGCTGCTGCAGCCACTTACCTGCCTACCAGTCTGCTTACAAGCTGCCCAGGACTTGCAACTTCCTGCCAGCTTCCCCATTGACTTTGCTTGTTGGAAGCCGGCTGGAAGTCACGAGGAGGTCCTCACTTAACGACCTGCAATCCTTGCTTAACAACAGCAATGGGGACTGCTGGGATTGCCATCGCTAAGCGATGTGGTCATGTGACATTGTTCTTTACTTCTGCATTGCTTACTAATGGAAATTCCGGTTCCAATTGCCATTGTTAAGCAAGGGCTACCTGTACTTTAATTTAAAAAATCACTTCCAATTGGCTTTGTTTTAATATACATTCAATTATATATTGTATTAATTTATGTTTCAGTTACTGTTTGGAGTACGTTTATGTGAAGCTTGTCCATCTCATTGATTTAGGACAGGTAAAAAAAGCAATTCTTCTGTTACTCACATTTGCACAAAAACAAAACGTTTTGTGACATAGTGATTTCTATTTATATATCTGTACAAAATTCTTTGATTTCAGTGTAGTAAATGAAGTACACTGAATTACCTCAGGGTTTTTATTTCCATTTTCTACTGTAGCAAGCATCTGTTTTACTCTGTCTCTAAACAAACAAGGAACAAAATTAAGAAATTAAAGAGGAGGGAAGTTAAGCAAAATTTGGGCACCAAAATTATCTTTCACTAGCTGTATGTGTCAGATGTACAACTGACTCTGGAGATTATTTTTGTTAAAAATGCTTGGAGGTCATTTGTGCTATATTCTTATCAGAAAACTCAGTTGCATAGGGTCTAACACAGGTATGTCTACATAATAAGTGTTAATTGGGAGATTTTAACTAGATGAAGAATGAAAACTATTAATGGGAAATTTAATAGAAATTATAGAATGTTCACATTGCTTTGTTGGCTATGCTTTACCCAAGCTTAAAATTCTGAGTAAGGTTTTTGCTTTGAAATAATTATCATGATGCACCATGTGTATAAATATTTACATATAGAAAGCTTAAGGTAATTAGTCCTGCTTGTGAGTAGTTCTTGGTGCTCATATTCATCAGCTATTGATTTTTGACAATTTATCAGCATTATCTGTAAAAACGTGTCCATGTGAAAATATTAAATGCCTTTCAGCATTTAAAAACGTGCAAGCATTCTAGATAGTTAAGGAAAGTTGATAACCATCCACTGTTTAGAATGGATGCTGATCTACAGTTATCTTGACTGTAGAGATGAATTGCAGAGTTCTGTATATCCTGCCAATTTTACATATATAAATTATAAACCAAGTTTTGCCAACCATAATAATGGGATTCACATAACATGCTAAATCAAAACCCCGCAAACAGTCTAAATACACATTCATATTTTTTATGTGTTGCACTAAGCCATGGTAGGCTTAACCCTAGTTTCCTGAATGAACCACATCTGGCTGGCTTCAAACAGCATATTAAGCCAAAATCTTCTACGTGATGATGTGCTAGAACCCAGCAGTTGAGAATCTATATAGAAATGTGGGTTGAGTGCTATATCCATTTATATGTAACATTTAATTGAATGGAGGACAGAATGCTAGCAGTTAATGTTTCTTCTGCAGCTGTTTTTCCATATATGGGACTCAGTCCTGAATGGTTCACAAAACAAAACTCTTTAACAGTTTTAATACTCTGATTTTAATTTATAAATTTGATTATGGTAAGGATGGTACTTGCCAGATTAGTTCAGTGTTCAAATACTATTGTAGAGATAGCTTGGCTGAATTTTCCGCCTATTGATACCTAGGATAGCCTGTTTTTTTCTTAAATAAACAACTCTAACTTAATTTGCCAAGTTGAATTAAATTCGTTAGCACCTATAATGTGATACTCTGAGATGTAAAAAAAAAAAAGTTTATTTGATTAAGTTTGATCCATAGCATGTATTAAGAGACCTAACTCCAAGATGAAATAGCCCA